CTGAATTGTGGGTTTCCAACTAATTTCAGTTAGGACTCATCCTGGTATGGCTTTGGGTTCTACATGTTTTTATACCCAAGACAACATATAAGAGTTTTACAGACTTCTTCAGAGTCATGATAACAATAGAGTATTCGTGGTTTAACTCTTATCTATAAGAAACATTCCTATAAAGTAGTAATTCTCTTGTTGTGTACTAAGGAGATAACATTTTGGGGGATGACTGTCTACCTCTTTATGGAGCGGGTGGGCTGGGCAGGGGGACTTTAAAACTGGCATCCAATGCAGCCCAATGCTGATAGCATTTTGACAGGATGCTTCCCCCTGATCCCTCCAAAACCCTAAAATAAAAGGCAATTTTCAATGTTGCATGGCAGATTATTCTCTTGAGAGAAAATAAAAATATAAAAACATAAGAACGGCCATACTGGGTCAGACCAAAGGTCCATCCAGCCCAGTATCCTGTCTACCGACAGTGGCTAATGCCAGGTGCCCAGAGAGAGTGAACCTAACCTGATCAACTGATCTCTCTCCTGCCCTCCATCTCCACCCTCTGACAAACAGAGGCTAGGGACACCATTCCTTACCCCTCCTGGCTAATAGTCATTAATGGACTTAACCTCCATGAATTTATCCAGTTATCTTTTAAACCCTGTTATAGTCCTAGCCTTCACAACCTCCTCAGACAAGGAGTTCCACAGGTTGACTGTGCACTGAGTGAAGAAGAATTTCCTTTTATTTGTTTTAAACCTGCTACCCATTAATTTCATTTGGTGGCCCCTAGTTCTTATATTATGGGAACAAGTAAATAACTTTTCCTTATTCACTTTCTCCACACCACTCATGATTTTATAGACCGCTATCATATCCCCCCTTAGTCTCCTCTTTTCCAAGCTGAAAAGTCCTAGCCTTTTTAATCTCTCCTCATATGGGACCCGTTCCAAACCCCTAATCATTTTAGTTGCCTTTTTCTGAACCTTTTCTAATGCCAGTATATCTTTTTTGAGATGAGGGGATCACATCTGTACACAGTATTCAAGATGTGGGCATACCATAGATTTATATGAGGGCAATAAGATATTCTCCGTCTTATTCTCTATCCCTTTTTTAATGATTCCTAACATCCCGTTTGCTTTTTTGACTGCTGCTGCACACTGCGTGGACGTCTTCAGAGAACTATCCACGATGACTCCAAGATCTTTCTCCTGATTAGTTGTAACTAAATTAGCCCCCATCATATTGTATGAATAGTTGGGCTTATTTTTTCCAATGTGCATTACTTTACATTTATCCACAATAAATTTCATTTGCCATTTAGTTGCCCAATCACTTAGTTTTGTGAGATCTTTTCGAAGATCTTCACAGTCTGTTTTGGTCTTAACTATATTGAGCAGTTTAGTATCATCTGCAAACTTTGCCACCTCACTGTTTACCCCTTTCTCCAGATCATTTATGAATAAGTTGAATAGGATTGGTCCTAGGACTGACCCTTGGGGAACACTACTAGTTACCCCTCTCCATTCTGAAAATTTACCATTTATTCTGACCCTTTGTTCCCTGTCTTTTAACCAGTTCTCAATCCATGAAAGGATCTTCCCTCTTATCCCATGACAACTTAATTTACATAAGAGCCTTTGGTGAGGGAACTTGTCAAAGGCTTTCTGGAAATCTAAGTACACTATGTCCACTGGATCCCCCTTGTCCACATGTTTGTTGACCCCCTCAAAGAACTTTAATAGATTAGTAAGACATGATCTCCCTTTACAGAAACCATATTGATTTTTGTGCAACAATTTATGTTCTTCTATGTGTCTGACAATTTTATTCTTTACTATTGTTTCAACTAATTTGCTTGGTACTGACGTTAGGATTGCCAGGATCACCTCTAGAGCCCGCTTAAATATTGGCATTACATTAGCTATCTTCCAGATATTGAGTACAGTAGCTGATTTAAAGGACAGGTTACAAACCATAGTTAATAGTTCTGCAATTTTACATTTGAGTTCTTTCAGAACTCTTGTGTGAATGCCATCTGGTCCCAGTGACTTGTTACTGTTAAGTTTCTCAATTAATTCCAAAAAGTTGGGACTTAAAATGTTTGCTATCTTCCTACTTGGACAAAACTTCCAAGTGAAAACAGAATAAAAAGCTGAACAAGGACATACGGGTTTGGTCCTTATTGGCTGGTCATTGGAAAGCAGGATATCTCACTCCATAAAATACAGGTATGAACTCTACCCGAACTTCTTGATTGGGAAATCCCTTGGGTTACTGGACTGCTTTCCTTGCCTCTCTGTGGTGCGCTAGTGGGCCCTGTGCATGCTCACAGAATTTTTAAAAAAATACAGGGTTTGTGGGCTGAAATTGTGCTTATGCCCTCATATAGCAATATTAACTCTGGGGATGCTTCTAATGTAAGGCCGAGCAAACCAGTTTGGAAAAAAACCACCTCAAAGCTTTCCTTGTTCCTCAAGTGGAACATACATCCTGTCAGCACGGCAAGGCTCCCTCCTTGCAACGTCGCTTTTTCACTGGTGCCTTTGTTGATCCAGTTGTGCGTCTTAGACAGCTGTGGGTCCCAGATGCTGCTGAAGTCCAGGTTTGCCTTACCCAAAGACTCCAGTTTTCATGTTGAATTTGGTGGCATCGGGTCAGAGCTTTTGGGATTCAGACTGAGGCTTTATTTTGCGGGGAGGATGCAGGTGGGCAAGTTATTGGTGGTGGCGTTGGAAAGTACCTAACGCTCAAACCAGCACCCGTTGCATTCGCTGTGGATGGGGCCCCTCATGAGGTGGAGAAAACTGGAGAGGCCGACAGGAAAGCCCAAAGGCAGGGAGGAGTAGCTAATGGGAGGAGCAACCCTGGAAAGCTCTCGAGTCTCAGAGTCTCACTAAGCTTCAATTTTCTGACCGTGTTGATCTTAACACTAGTTGTTGCTGAGCTAAATGAGCAGCTGTCAGATGTGGCACAGACACAGAACTAGAGTTTTTACCATACCTCCCCTCTGATAACTATGGGCCAAATTATTGAATGCAGGTACCTGAAGAGCATCACAACTTCTGTGCATTCATGCTTGTTAAATTCACAAATCCCACTGTGGGGCCGGCATATGCAGATCATTGTGCTTGCACAGCAGCATTTGCAGGTGCAATTTTTGCAGCCTAGACACAAGTCCCTTAATATGCAAAATGCCAAGAGGGCAGACAGATCTCCATTCTCATTCTTAGTTGGCAGTCTTAACTGCAGTCATCAATTATTAAACCTGCCTTTGTCCAATAATTCACAATCTGCAGAATTCTGAGGTTCTATTGTTCCCATAATCCTTTAACATAAATACTGTATGGATCTGGGAGGTTCCAGGGCATAGTATGTGGTGATGTGGGAATTGTTTGCATGCTTCTTACAATTTGTTAGACAACGCATTGTCTTGTATAGAAAATGATCCATGGGACACCTAATAGAATTGATATAAAGTTCTGTTGTGGGCAGGGGAAAAACCCACCTGAAGGCATAAAACAAAGAAATGCTCTGTGATTAATGTCCTTGCAGAATACAGTGGCCCTGGGCAAGAGCGTCTTATGATGAATGTTTTGAAACTATAAACATCTCGGTGTTAAACAAATGATATTATCAGACAGCTCCTGTTCGGGTAGGATTCATGTCCTGTGCATTTTCCAGCGTTAACCTTTTGAAAATAGTGATGACTGAGGCAGCATGCTTGCCAAGTTTGATACCTTTGGTTTTGTCCTTTCCACTTGGTTTTGGCTTGAATACAAGATCTGTTTGATTGGTGACCCTGTTCAGCTGTGAAGGTTATTACAAAATTCAAAGCCTTAATCATACGAATAACCCTTACTCACACAAATATTTCCACTGAAGTAACAAACTCATTGTGATGTTGAGCTTTTGCAGAAATGGGCCCCAGGAGTTGTATATGTCCGAGTTGTATCCCCCCCGCCCCGACTATCTAAACCAGACTAGATTGGACATTGTCAGTTCTAAAAGATATTTATTATTTTCTTTTTTTTACCAGACTCTTTGTTGATGGAAGTATCTCATACAGAATCTAACTTTCTAATATTGGTATCCCATACATATCAGACATTCATTCCAGACTGGACACACTGGTAAATGTGTACTGTTTAAGTTTTTTGTGTAGGAATTCATAACTGCCTGAAGTGATCTGCCTTGTATTCATCCTTGTCAAATACATACAGCAAAACCAAGTGTTGCTGATTGACATTCCCATCCCAACCCAATGTGACCTACGACTGTTTGATTATTAGTGCTGAATACTATAGCTGACCTCTAGGACTTGCTTTCCTGGTGGTGATAAGCAGAGCTAACTACAGACAGGGGCAAGCAGGAGTGATAGTTTTCTTCTTGCCTTTCTTCACAAACCTCACTCAGCTGCTGTGTGTTTTCTAAATAATGTTAAAATAACCCCCAGAATGCTGTTCAGGACTACGACTAGTGTGGATGATGGTAAAAGTTAACAATGCAGAATGTGTGGTGGTGATGGGGAATAATCAGCCTCGAAGTTTTGGAGCAGTTATGGTCTGTCACCAATGAAATCATTCCCCCATGTTTTAAGACAGAAAAAAATAGCATCTGGTAATGTCTCCTCTTACATTGCATACCTACGAGCATATTTGTTTACTGTGAAGTATTCGGGAAAGATCAGCTGATTTTAGGCAAAATAAGATCTAGTTCAAACCAAATCCAGGGTGAATGGATTTTTGAGGGTCCCAACTTTCACTTTACTTTTCCCTCCGTGTTCTGGTCAGGACTAGCAATGGAAGGTACAAGCAAACTCACAAGACAGAAACCTTATGAGAACTAACAGAATCTTGCAATTCAAAGAGGTGTGGTTAAGCATCCAGACTCTTGTCTAAACTACTATAATCTCCAAGCCCATGGTGGCACATCCATCACTGGCATGTAATCTAAAATGTCTCTGAAATTACACACATACACTTCATAGTGTTCTCTCATCCTAGGCTTCGACTTCATGATGGAAAGCTCATTAAGGACAGGCGCCACCACCTTCGAACGTACCCCAACTGCTTTGTTGCAAAGGAGCTTACAGACTGGCTGATTGACCACAAGGAAGCACCAGACCGAGAGACGGGCATCCGCCTAATGCAGAAGCTAATGGACCATTACATCATCCATCATGGTTTGTAAATTCTAGTTACCCTTTAACTTGCCCAAGAGAGAAAATTCAGTGTCTGGACTGGTCATTTCCCAGTCTGTTCCCACTGATCAGACTGACTTACTTATTTAGGATCCACTTCTGCAACCCTTTCTCATGCGAGTACTTCAGCTGAAGCCAATGGAATGATCCCCTGGAGTTTGAGATGTGCAGAACTGGACTCCTGTTTAATTGCACTACTTTGCAGGTCGCACTGTGCTCACAGTCTCTTGCACTGCAGCAGCTCTAGAAGAGAGGCTGTGGCTGCACGTGAATGAAATAACCCTCGGAGGCGTGTCTCATGGGAAAAGGTGGAACAATAATGCAACTGGTTCTTGCTCAGTCACCCTGTCCTGAACACCAGGACATCCCTGCAACATGGTTGTATTACGCAAACACTCAAAGGGCTGAAACTGCATGATAGAAGAAATTTAAAGAATGTAGTAAAATTCATTTTTACTGCACCAGCCGAGTGTCCCTTGACATTCCAGCTCATCTCTAGGGTGGGGACAGTGGGAGTGCAGCTTGCATGCCAGCGAGCGCTACACTGTGATCGGATTGTGGCATCCCAAGGGCCAATGCAAACATGCAGGAAAGCCTCCCGTGGAAATGAAAAACATACAGTGCCCTTTTCAAGGCCTGTCTTTAAAGACTCACTTGGCACCCAGCTCCAAACGGGTCCTGACCAATGGCTCCTACTTTTCTGGCTCTTAATTTTTTTTTAACTTGCAACAGCTGTGCTTTATTTTTATACAAACACTGGCCTGGGTCATGTTGTTAGATACCTGGGAAAGGCATGGTTTAGAGAACTGAGTATTGGAGCAAGAGAGAGGAATTCCTGAGGTTTAATCCTCGCTCTGATGCTGACTTGCTCTATGCCTTCCTTGGTTAAATCTCTGCCTCCGTATCTCCATCTGAAAAATGGGCATAATAAAAATAATTTAATTCTTGGGGGCAGAGATTAGAATTAAAGCCCCAGTTGCATAAATGCTTGCAGGATTAGGGTCTAACTTCTTAGGGTCCAGTGCTGGGAGTTCTAGAATCTTTTTTGTATATTCTCTCATGTTTAAACATGGCTGTTGCGATCTACATTCTAGCACAGCTAACCTGGTTGGCGTTAACAGATTTATTTCCCTTTCTTTTTGAGAGAACTGGACTGGCCCTACCATGCTCTAGACCAGTGCTTCTCAAGCTATCTGATGTGGGGGGCCGGCATTTTTTTCCCCCAATCTGCGCGCAGACCAGCAGCCCATGGCTCGTGGACCGGCACCGGTCCGCGGACCACCGCTTTGAGTAGCACTGCTCTAGACCACTGGGGCTGGAGACTGGTTTTCAGATGGTTCTTCGACAAATCCTTGTCTTCCCTGATGAAGGAAATAGTTTGAGAACTGTTCTGGCAACCGCTAGGTTGTAACTGTAGTAATAACAACTAGCTTTTATGTAGTGCTTTACATCAGTCAATCCTGACATAGTTTACAAAGGAGGTCAGAATCACTATCCTTATTTTACAGATGGGGAAACTAAGGCACAGAGGGAAGAGATGTGCCCAAGGTCACCCAGCATCAGAGTTGGGTATCCTGAGTCCCAGGCCAGTGCACTGTTCACTCAGCCACACTACTTCATACACGGCAGCTAGGGTGAGGCTGTTTGTTGCTTGTGTTGACTGAGGCATAGGCAAGAGATTCGTTTAGGGTGAAACTCAGCCCTGCATAGAGGATCAGTACAAGACAGATGCACTTCTTAAAACCTGTCTGAGGGCTTGTGGTCAGACTTGCATGGTGCATAAACGGTCCCTGGGCTGGTTCTTCACATGGGGTTGGATTTCACCCTTGGTGCATGGGCATGAAAGATGTTTGTGGGCACTTGCTGGTAGTGTGAAGAGTGGCTGTCTCACATTTAACTTTGATTTTACTAGAGATGAGCCTGGGCCAAAATCCCACATCAGATTAACCCCACTTCCTTGAAACTTGGAGATGTTTGGAACCAGATCCCAAGGCACTGGTGTTCCTGCTTTGGTGATCTGGTGGAAGACAATCCTCTGGATTAAAAACATCTAGCTGTTTAACACGCAATCAAAAACTCCCAGGATGTTATCGGGAAACTAAAAATCCTCTTTCTGGAGATAAAATCGCATGAGGGTTAATAACAAACTGCACCCTGCTTCCCAAAACTAAAGCCTCCGCACCTCTGGCAAAGCGGTGTCTGCACGTGGTCCCATTGCAGGATTACTTACGAGCTCTGTCCCCAGCCTCATCCTGCCAGTGAAAATGGCAGCTCCATTTAGACTATAGAAAGGAATGCAATCAACTTGGTTTGCAAGGGGAGGAAAGGGGACGGGGAGGTGGGCAAGACAGCTCAGTTTATTTTTTAGCAGCGAATAAAAGTGAGCTTGCTCTCTCCCTCCCTGGAACAACAAAAAGCCAGAAGGGCCCATTCAGTCCTTTTGCATAACGCAGAATTTCACCCATTGATTCATACATCAAGCTCAATAACTGGTGGTTGAACTGGAGTGTGTCATCCAGACCCTCGGTCGTGACTGGTAGAATTCAAGTGCAGAGAATCTAGCACGCCCATTGGTCTTAAAGCCAAACCCTAGTTATACACACCCTTGTGACTGGGTATGGAATAAGCATCCACATTTTGCAGATATTTGCTGGTTTTTATCATGGGCCAAGCCAAAACCCCATAGTTGAATCAGACCCAAGCTTTGGGGCATCTGAGGTCCTCATACTTGATGCTAGAACCATCTTTACGGAGAGACTCAAACTACTCTCTGCACTTATTTAAATGAGTAGTCCTCTCTCTTTAATAGCACACAGAATGTAAGTTTTGCTGCCAGATCTCTTGCCTTCATTGAAGTCTTTCTGCACTGCTGCTTAACTTTGCAGGATGTAACATCTGTCCTTAGTGTCCAGTGCATGGACTCAAGCCATATAACCGTAGGGCACTTGAGGGAATGGAAACAGCCTCTGTGATTGACCAGCCGAGTGAACTTGTTGCGTGATGCGCACACTCTGCGATATACTTAACAAAGGCAAAATCTGCAACGGAGAGCAAATGGTCAGGGAAGGAGCAAGGGCGACTTGTGCTGAATGGGCCTGAATGTTCAGCTTTCAGCTGACGGTTTGGCAGAATACACTTCAGGCCTGTTTCCCCTACAGGAGCAATACAAGGCTGGCTTGTGTATGTCACACAGAGCCTGACGCTGGCTGAAACCAAAATAAACACAGACTCCTAGGGTGCTTTCTTCCTGCAGTCTGGGACAGTGTGTACAAGCAAAGCCTTGGGCTGTGGTGAGGGGAGCTCCGGGGTCTGTGGGGCAGAGAGTACATGAGGCGATGGATTGCCTGATTCTTTCTCCGAGCATCCTGCCTCTCTAGTCTGGTTATAGGCCATGAGGAGGGGAAGGAGTCTAAAAAGATGATTTTTAAGAGCCGTGTCCAGTGTGTCCTCCAAAGAATTCAGTGTGTTCTCGTCTTGCTGGGGAGGTGATGGCTAGTTTGGCCCGAACACTCTCCCAAGTACCCTTCTTCCTCAATTCTTCACTTCACACTCAGCCTTTTCTGAGGCTTGTAGAAGTTTTGGTGACTCTCTCCAGCTTGTGTTTGCTCACCTTTCTTGGTTCTTTTCAGAAGCAAAAGGCCCCAAATCTCTCTCTCTTTCTGTATCTTGTGGCATATTTCTGGGCTGACTAGCAGCAGGAAGTGCTAGATGTTATGAGAGACCTTATTCATGTGACACTATTTATTTCTTCCGCACACCCCACCCAGAGGTGAGCATCCACCCTCTGAACAACGGACACCGCTCTCTCTTTCAGGCCTGCAGGATTTTAACCTCCAGTTTTGGAAGGAGGGTTGTAAAATGACCTTGCAGATTTCCTCTGGCTGAAAAGTTACAAAAATGTGTCTGTAAGTTGAGGGTTAGTCTGGTACATTTTTCCCCACAGAAAGTTTTAGGTGAAATGCCAAAAAACCAAAAATGTGCCCCATTTGTTTTCATCAGCATTTTACGTTTTCAGCTAAAATCTTTCAGTGATAAAACAAAATCTTCTATGGAAAGGAAACACGTTTCTTTTTGTGGAAAATCCTGTCACCAAAACCCCAAATTTCCCTCCAAACGATCAAGACAGAACATGTTTGACTTAGTTGAGGGTGCAGAATACTGCGTGTATGCGCAGGTAGAGTGGGTGTAGTTAATGTCTGTGGGAAAATGTACCTGTCCTGTGTTCTTGTCCAGCTCTGCCCCAGAAGTAGCTGCATGTTAGTGATCTTGTGACTATAGCTAACACCTTTTGGGCACTTCAGGATGGAAATGTAGATTATTTACAGAAATGACAATCAAAGGTGAATTTAAATAGCTGTTGCTTGTAACACCTGGGCACCTAGTGCAAAGTGGCAAACCCGTTGTGCTAAATGCTGGACAGACCAATGATTGGGGCAGTCCCCATATTAACTTAGTCTTTCAGACTTGTTAAGAAGAGTTTCTCACCCTATGAGATCTGGCATGACAGGGCAGATCCAAATGGGGGAGAGTACAAAATGAAGGCTGAAAATCCAGATTGTAGGGGCCAGATTTTCAAGAAGAGCCTTCATCTCGATATTAGCGGGGGAAGGGAGATGGGATAATATGTCACTGTTCTCAGTGGGCGCTACGGCGCTCTGATGAAGAATCTGCCCACTTCATTCAGGCGCCTAAACAGGAGCTGAAAACCTCCCCTAAGCCCTTAACAACAGGAGTGTGGTAACACTGGAGTTCGCATTTACGCTCTCCTTACTGGAGCTGAGGAGGTGGAAGGCAGGTGCAGCTTTCCTTGACTTCAACCCCTCTTTTGTAGTGGAGTTTAGAAACAACCCTCTTGACCACTGCGATGCAAACAGTCTCTCTGTTGTCATCGGCTGCCTGGTGAGAGATGAATACCTTGTACATTAGGCTGCCATGAATAAAAATACCCTCTCTTGCTGCCCTTTATTACAGCAGCCTGAAGGAGCAGCAATTAGTCCAGAGTTAACCATTAACACTTAACTCTGATTATTTGCCATCTTGCCAGCTATTTTTTTTTTCCACCACCAGGTTGACCCATTTTTTGATTAAAGTCTTTGGAACGCTGGGCAGGACCGAAGCTTTTAGTCACCAAAGACGTCATCCTTCCACGTTTCTGTTAATCACCTGTTGAATGCATGCGGCTGACTTTATTATTTCCTGATTTGTGATCATTTCTTTTTCTTAGTCCTCTAGTAAGAGGGCTCTCTGCTCACCTCCATGTGGAGAGAACTGCTGGGAATCTGGCTAGTTAAAATCCATTCCCCTTCCCCTCAGCGAGTCCCAACATCCTTGAGAGGGTCAAGAATAATACCATGAAATGCATTGCCTGGACTATTGCTTACTTGTGAGATATGATCTAACTAGGTACTATAGCATACACTGGGCCCAGAATTGGAAATTGGGTATTGTCTGCCAGGCCTTTAAGCTGCAAAAGTGCGTCTTCTTTCCATGGGCTCAAGCCTGTAAGACTCTGAGCATATTAACTTCCATTTATCCCTCTCCTTCCCATGAAACTGATTGTAACGCCATAGGAACCATCAACACCGCTGGGCAAAACCCCCTTAATCTCTAAAACAGCTGTGTGCTTGAATAGACTTCCTCCTGCCTGCCGCATCTTGTGTTTGTAGCTTTGCATTTTGTCACCATGAAGGCAATTCAGGGAGCATGTTTTTTAAGTCTTACCATAATACTTAGCACTAGAGCCAGTCAAGCAAAGGCAGGCATAGTTCTACGAAACATTCCTGAAGAAATGAACATTTTGTTTTTTACTCCAAACTTTGTGACATTTTTATATGAAACTTCAAAAGGCAACTTTTTAAAATCTCTGATTAATTCTTCCTCTCCTGCCCGCCCCCCACAATTCAATAGGGAAAAAAATCTTCCTTCTTATGGTGGGGTGGGATGTTTTTGTGTTTCTTGGTTTTTTTATTAATAGGTTGTTTCTTCCCACTGAAACAAAACTTTTTTTACAACAGGAAAAAACCTTTTTGACATGAACAACCCCTCCCAAACTTTTGACCTGCTCTACTTATCACTTAGTGCAAGCTCACCATGAATCTCAAAGCACTTTCCCTAAATGGGTATTATCCCTATTTTACAGGTAGGGGAAACTGAGGAAGAGAGGTGCTGTGACTTATTCAAGTTCAAACAGTAAGTCAGTGGGAGAGCTGAGCTCAGTTCTTCCAGGTCCTTAGAACAGTGGTCTGTCTCTGTGACCATATTGTCTCTCAATGGTCTCTCACATATCTGCACGCACCTCCCAGAGGGCATGTACAAATGAGGAATGCACAAATACCCAAGGTGTGCATGCAAATGAGGTGTGGTCCCTTAAATTAGGTGGCTATAGATGCATGCACCTAACTTTAAAGATCTGATGTCAGACCTGATGGATTGCCATGTGAATGAATCGGGCAGAGTGGATGCAGATTGATTGTGTGGAAAAATCTCTTTTATAGTTGCATTTAGATATCAAAGCTTCTGCAATAGGGGAAAAGGAATGTAAATATTCTGAGGCAATTGAATGGGTTTTTGGCTGCTACATTCCCCCCCACCCCCACCCTCTCTAAGCTTGCCTAAAAGTGGCAGTGGCTTTTTAACCCACCGGACTAGGAGAGGATTGCATTTCTTTTTTTAAGCTTATAGGTGAACTGCAACATTTAGACTTGAAAAAAAAGTCTTCCTTTTCCATTCAGTCATCTAATGAGAGCTCTAAATGTTGCTATTAAGGACCAGAACTTACTTCAGTTCCTTCCTGCAAAGTTCTGTGCATGTGACTGGCTGCCTGCCCCAAACAGGGGTGTGCAGCTATTGTGCATGGGACCCTGTTTGGTGTTTGAATGCCCATCTGCCCTAGTGCATGCAGGAATGGTTTCTACACAGCTCATTGTAGTAATCATAAAGTTGGAGGTCTGGAACCTGGGCCACGGTGTACTGCCTGTACCTCCTAAATGACTGAAAACTGTGTTTGTGCTCAGGCTGGAGTTTGCATTATGGGGTAGTGTTTAAGCCTGCAGTTCTGATGTTGTCTGCTTTGATTTTCTTTCCAGTTTGTGATGAACACTCAGACTACAAGGATGCCAAGTTGCTGTACCGTTTCCGCAAGGACGATGGGACCTTCCCTCTCAACAAGGATGTAAAGGTGTTCATGAGGGGGCAGAGCCTTTATGAGACGTACGTGAGTCCTTCCCTAAAAGGTCTATCACCGTGCAGGCTGCTGGCTGCCTTTGCAGCTCCAGAGTCAGGAATCTGAACCGTTGCCAATGTTTCTCTTGCGCCATAGTATCAACTGGTATCTCCAGCTCTGACTCCTTGCTGCCTTTCTCACTGCAGGACTATCTGGACTGAAGTGCAGAGATGGCTGTGAATTGGAATGCAGGATCAGAACTCTTTGCCGCTTTGGGGGGGAGTTCACATTCAGATCCAGATCTGGACTTCAAGCCATTGCTAATGAATATGGTTCACTATGGTTGAAGTGCTAGCCTAGGATTTGGGAGGTCTGGGTTTGAGGTCCTGCTTTGCCACAGACTTCCTGGGTGACCTTGGGCAAATCAGTTAGACTCTCTCTGCATCATTTTCCCCCTATACAATGGGACAACAGCACTGTCCTGCCTCACAGGGGTGTTGTGAGAATAATTGCATTAAAGTTTATGAGATGCTAAGATACTTTGGTAATGTGGGTGCTCCGACAAGTAGCTTAGATTCCATGGACAGCTTCCTTTCACAGAGGGGGAGGGGAAGAGGAAGACACAGAAACACACACACGCAAAGATGGGTTCTCTCTGTGTGTGGAGATTTCGCTAATTACTCCTCCAGGTCAAAAAACAGCTTCTTCTCTGAGTCTGACTGGGGAAATGGGCTGGAGAATCTGGATCTCTACATTCCAGTAAGCCTCTTAATAGGACTGGAAGGCAGAACACAAGTAGCTGATCAGCGTTGCTGCTCTCTTTTGTGGGTGTGGGGAAGCAGAGCTCTGGTAAGGTAGGAATGATTAAAAGGAGATGGGTCTTTCTGGGCTGTTGAATCCAGATGGCCCAGCCAATCTACCAACAGGGGGACCACACAGGGAGTCTGGCAAAGCTAGGAACTGATCTCAAATCTCACATCTTAACCACAGCCCTCCCCCTTCTCTCCGTTATTATCAATTATCCAGTATGTTCCAGTGGTCCCAGCACAGGGCCGGGAACCTGGCGTTCCAGACGTTGAGCCTACTACTACTCCGTGCTGACCTTAAGCAAATCACTTAATCTCTGTGTTTTTATTTTTCTCCCATCTGCTAAATGGGAATGGAAAATACCGACCTTGCAGGGGCTGTCTTATATGATCAATGCTTTTACAGTGCTTCAAAAAGTATAAAAAAGCTATATGCAGGCTAACTATTCTGCCTGAAATGAAACCCTGGACAGGCTTGGTTTGGAATTGAGGAGCTAAATTCCAGAAGTTGTGTATAATCTCCTCACACGAGTTATTTTCCTCTAAGGGAAACACAGGCCTGATGCCAGCAGGGATCCTCACCATTCTTCCTGCATTGAACTTGGATGCTGTTGCTGGCATCTCCCGTCATGTGACGCATTTCTTGGCTTCTGTTAGAGCAGATTGAAAAACGTTAGTAGTTTGTCTTGGAAAACTTTGAAAAAATTTAACTTTTTTCCAAATTTTCATGTGTGTGTTTGTTTTTTTGCATTTTACAAAACAACCATAAGGTTCTGGGATTTTGAAACCCGCCCCCCCCCCCGCCCAACCTTTTTGGCTTCTTGGTTTCCCCACCCCCCTCCTTTTCCAGTGGCAAATTTGGAGGCAGGGGAGAAAAAATCACAACTGACACCAATTCTATCTCAATGCCTGGGGTTTTGGGTTTTTTTTTTTTTTGGCTTTTGGGGTTCATTTTTTGTTTTTTTTTCAACCCCCTCCAGTTCTAAATCTCGGAACGGGTCTCTTCCTAGAATCAGATCCAGTGCTGGGTTTAAACTCATTTCAGCCACGAAGGGCGCGTCAATGCTACAGCGACGCAGGACGGCAACTGCAACTGTGTTGTTGTCGCACCGCCATGTGGATGCTTCCTGCGTCGAGGGCAGCGGTTTTCCCATGGATGTGGTGACTCCATCTCTCCAAGGAGCTGCAGCTAGGTTGAGGGAAGACTTCTCCCGTCAAACTTGCCACGTTTACACCAGGGAGGAGGTGGCCCTAATTCCGGTGCTCAGGACACTGAGCAATGTAGCTAGCCTGGTCTAGTTTTTAAGTGTAGGCCAGGCCCAGGATTGGCAGAAGCACCCTTTAAATGTGGGGGGGAGGGGAGGGGGAGGGCACAGACACCTGAATTGTGGGACCGCCCCCCCCAAAAGCCCACCCTCACGCTGTCCCTGACTGCGAGGTGCCACTCCTGTGCTGCCTCTTCCCTCCCAAGATCCCACTCGCTCCTCTCCACCCCCTTCTCCCCTTGTCCCTCATACTTATGGCCAGAAAAAGTGGAAGGGCCATGGGCCCCCTGGGCCCCTCTGTTCCGCTGCCCCTGGCCAGGGCTAAATTACTTCTGTACCTGGTGGTTTCAAGCACTCACTCATCTTAATGCTGTGTTGTGGCTAAGCACCTAGCAATCAGAATCTCAAACCCCAGCTGAAGTGGGAACCCACCATTGGGCAAACTTGTGCAGAACTCGGCATGTGCTGTCTGTCCTCTGTTGGACCCATGTTCTGACTTTAATCTGTCAGAAATTAGCAGATTAAGGCTATACTTCTGTTGTTGTGCTATTTGCTAAACAAAATAGCATAAATCCTGGTCTATGCTAGAAAAATCCATACCCCTGAGTGGTGTAGTTAAGCCAATCTAACCCCCAGTGTAGACAGCATGAGGTGGATGGAGAATTCTTCCATCGACCTAGCTACCGCCTCTCAGGGAGGTGATTTACCTATACTGACAGGAGAACCCCCTTCCCCCTCCTTTCGGCGTAGGTAGTGTCTACAATGAAGTGCTCATGGCGATCAGGGGAAGTCCTGGACGACTGGAAAAAGGCTAATGTAATGTCCATCTTTAAAAAAGGGAAGAAGGAGGATCCTGAGAACTACAGGCCAGTCAGCCTCACCTCAGTCCCTGGAAAAATCATGGAGCAGGTCCTCAAGTAATCAATTCTGAAGCACTTAGAGGAGAGGAAAGTGATCAGGAACAGTCGGCATGGATTCACCATTAGTCATGCCTGACTAATCTAATTGCCTTCTATGACGAGATAACTGGCTCTGTGGATGTGGGGAAAGCAGTGGACGTGTTGTTCCTTGACTTTAGCAAAGCTTTTGACATGGTCTCCCACAGCATTCTTGCCAGCAAGTTAAAGAAGTATGGGCTGGATGAATGGACTATAAGGTGGATAGAAAGTTGGCTAGATTGTCGGGCTCCACGGGAAGTGATCAATGGCTCCATGTCTAGTTGGCAACCGGTATCAAGTGGAGTGCCCCAAGGGTCGGTCCTCAGGCTGGTTTTGTTCAATATCTTCATTAATGATCTGGAGGATGGTGTGGATTGCACCCTCAGCAAGTTTGCAGATGACACTAAACTGGGAGAAGAGGTAGATACGCTGGAGGTAGGGATAGGAGACAGAGGGACCTAGACAAATTAGAGGATTGGGCCAAAAGAAATCTGATGAGATTCAACAAGGACAAGTGCAGAGTCCTGCACTTAGGACGGAAGAACCCCATGCACCGCTACAGACTAAGGACTGAGTGGCTCGGCAGCAATTCTGCAGAAAAGGACCTAGGGGTTACAGTGGACGAGAAGCTGGATATGAGTCAACAGTGTGCCCTTGCTGCCAAGAAGGCCAGTGGCATTTTGGGATGTATACGTTGGGGCATTGCCCGCAGATTGAGAGACGTGATTGTTCCCCTCTATTCGACATTGGTGAGGCCTCATCTGGAGTACTGTGTCCAGTTTTGGGCCCCATGCTACAAGAAGGATGTGGAAAAACTGGAAAGCGTCCAGCGGAGGGCAACAAAAATGATTAGGGGTCTGGAACACGTGACTTATGAGGAGAGGCAGAGAGGAACTGAGATTGTTTAGTCTGCGGAAGAGAAGAATGAGGGGGTATTTGATCGCTGCTTTCAACTACCTGAAAGGGGGTTCCAAAGAGGATGGCTCTAGACTGTTCTCAGTGGTAGCAGATGACAGAACGAGGAGTAATGGTCTCAAGTTGCAGTGGGGGAGGTTTAGGTTGGATATTAGGAAAAACTTTTTCTCTAGGAGGGTGGTCAAACACTGGAATGTGTTACCTAGGGAGGTGATGGAATCTCCTTCCTTAGAAGTTTTTAAGGTCAGGCTTGACAAAGCCCTGGCTGGGATGATTTAGTTGGGGATTGGTCCTGCTCTGAGCAGGGGGTTGGACTAGATGACCTCCTGAGGTCCCTTCCAACGCTGATATTCTGTGATTCTATAGTACTGCTGTAGCATTTCAATTGTAGACAAGCCCTAAGAAATGCATTTGGAAGGTATCTAGCTGTTTGCATATGTGGGGTTAGGGCACCCTCTTGAGGACACATCAGTTTTAACCTTCCAGAATTCAGGAAACCGCGGGTTGAACTGCATTTAAGCTGTGCCCTTTCTAGCAGTTTAGATTTTCAGGGGGTTACAGGAACCTTTTGTTGCTTTTTGGCTCGCGTGCTCTGTCTTGCTTTGAGTTGGCCTTGAATTGGCTGTGCTGAAACCACCTCTTGTGCCTGAATTTGATTCAAATCCACGTGAAAGGAACATGTTTTGCATGGGTTCACCTGAAACAAGCAAAACTCACATGCTGCCTTTCTAACTTGGCTTTGGGTTCTGTTACAATTACTTGCACAGCTCATTATGGCTAATCTTTTCAAAATTAGCTGGTGTTTTCCATTGCGCATTAAAGTATTGAGTGACTCACCTGTCTCCTCAGCTGTGTTTTGAATGAGACCTAGAATTTAGGTTCTGATCATGTGGGTTAAACACCTCATTTAAAAGGCTTTTTCTCACCATTGTTGTCTTAAGCAATTGGGCTTTTGCCATTTCCCTTGGGAGCCCAATGGCTATCTATATGAGAAAACTGCATCAGTTTTAAATAAAGGAGCGATTTTAAACTGATGTGGTTAAACCACCACAATAGGCTGTGTGGATATTTATTTCATCTTAGCTTAAACTGATTCCTGGAGTGTCTACATTAGGGTTTGAACTGGCTTAATTCAGTTTAAAATTGCCCCTTTAGCTAAACCAGTGCAGATTTTGTGGGCAAACAAAGTACACTCATTGGAAGCTTACCCTACTGTTCAGCCTGCAATGTTCCTTTCCTTAATTTTGTCCGGCCACACTTAGCTGTACCACCGTAAGCAGTTCTCCTTTCATGATGTTCACACCTTCAAAATCCTTAGGTAATTATTATCCCTCTATCACTGTGTAGCCAAGCTATGCTTTGTTCTTTGGTCCTTCCTCATACAGCAGCACTTCCAGCCTTTGTAGCCCAATAAACCATATCCTTAGTGAGGAGTGAGTATTTATTTATGGTGGAACTGAAAGTAGAAGCTTGGACAGGCTACTCTGTTTACCTCTCATGTCTCCATGCTGGGGAAGAGTCTTCCTTTCCTTGAGGACTTCTGTTTTTCTCACCCATTCCAGCATGCCCACCTCCTTTAAAACCCAATCAAATCCATGAAACATCCTAGACAGTCTTTATGGTTCTTACTGGCTTTGATGTTACCATGAGACTCATCTTCTGGGTCCTCCACATACAGCATTCTGACATGGGAACAACGTCATTCCAAAAACTGCCCTAAGCTAATGGCTCGAGAGGGGAAAGTCTGACACTTGGAGTTACATAATCAAGCATATTATGGTGTAGCAAGATGTGTGGGGTTCCCCCACTGTTTATTTTCTCTCTGCTCATGACAGGTGGGACAACCAATGCTTCAGTTGGCTTTAGCTCCTGCCATGCTGCTTGTGTAGTTATAAGGCTAAAGAAAAGATCACTCTTCTGGATCCGCCCCGCTCCTTACCCCTTGGCATGTCTCTTCTCTGTGCCAGGCTGATCAATGTAGAAGACTCCATACTGAAGGCGAGAGAGGAGAATTCTGTGAAGTACCAGAGGACATTCCTGGGCTGTGAAATGATTGACTGGCTCATCCAGGAAGGGGAGACAGCAAACAGAAAGGAAGCTGTGGAGCTGGGCCGAGCACTGCTGGAACATGGGATCGTTCAGCATGGTATGCCGAAATCCCTGGGGATGGGGAAGAAAGGTGAAGGATGGGGCTAGCTATCATTGCTTTGCTTGGAACAACCCCACATTTATAACAAGTAACAAAGGCTGGTCGTGTGCCGAGAGCTAGTTTCTACTTGGAGACAGCAGTGGGTCCATTTAGTTCTATTTTTAGAAGAGGGGCCCTCTGGGCACGCTGCTGTCACCCTTGAATGTTTGAGACGGAATCTGAGTCACTTTTTGGCATCTCTTCAAAGTGTCATTCCCAAGCCAGAGAACGGGGATTCACATCTGGATTTCGAGACACTCGAAGCCTGCTCGTGCACACGCTCGGTGTCTTTCTCCCTTTCTCACACACGCACAGAGGGATCAGATCTGAGATTCCCCGCCGACATTATAATGGAAGAAATAAGGCAGTTGAAGTGGAGGGGCTCATTCAATATCTGACCCATTTCTAAGGCTGCATATGTCGGAGGGCTCGTCTACATGGCGAGTTACTGCGGAGCAAGTCCGGGTGTGAATCAGCAGCACGCTCTGAATTTGCTTGTCCAGAGGAACAATTTGCTTGTCCAGAGAAACAATGTAAACAGCCCCGATAGAGCAGCACCACTTCTCTCCCACCACCACCACCTCCTCCTCCTCCTCCGACCAACGGGGAAAAAAAAAATCTCATTCCTGCCGATGAGCCCATGCCTCACTGGTCATCAACTTAACATCCTATCAGTTATTTCTGTACCACCAGTAAACCCAGCGCTAGCTTGTAATAACCCCAGCCTTACTGGACTGTGGGATTTTCCACTGGAATATTTTTTACTGGACGTTATCAACATTACTTTGGTGTGCTCCTGCAATGCAAGGCATTGTGGGAGGTGTAGTCCCACACCCTGCAATGCCTGGCTGTTAGAGAGGCGGGGGTTGGGAGGTGAAGGGATGAGGCTGCATCCCATGGCTGGGTTTGATAATGGAATAGCCCTTTTCCCTCCCCCACCAGACCCTTGTGATACTGAAAAGGGGAATAAGAACACACCCTGTCTTGAAAATCCTGAGCATTAAAAAAAATCCTGAATCAGGCTCCCCAAAAGCCCGAGGCTTTAAAAATAATGATTGTTGGGCTCCTTCTATTTGCCTTCTGGTTTCTGAGCTTTCGGTTCGGTTTTAGCCTTTGGGGGGGTGGGGGGTCATGGTTTCAAGCTTTTCTCTGCAACCCTGAGGATTAGAAACTCACATTCTGTTTTTTAATGAAAGCTGAGCGTCTCCCCTGCTCACATGACTCCAGGAGCTGGGACTTTAATAAAAGAAAAACACCAAATATTGTGACACTCACTGGAACTGGTAACACTGCAAAGGGTGCACTGGTAATACTGCAGCAGGTCTCCTCCTCCAGCCCTGCTGCTGAATGGCAAATATTAGCTACCCTTTGTCATGAGACCCCCCCTGACAGCCGCTCTACCCTTTCCTGTTCTCTTCCCAGTCTCCAGCAAGCACCACTTCTTTGACAGTAACCTGCTCTACCAGTTCCGGATCAACTTCCGCCGGAGGCGACGGCTCACGGAGCTGCTCAACGAGAACTTGCCCCGGGCTTTGTCGGAGAGCCCTGACAGCCCCTTCTGCCTCCGCAAGCTCAACCCGGAGCAAGGCAACTCCAGCTTCCTCTCGGGTAATCAGGGATACTGGGGTGGGGCCTTGGCTGGAAGGGGCAAATCCCTGGGCCCTTTAAATCGCTGCCAGAGCCCGTGGGCTCCCGGCCGCTGCTGCTACCCCGGAAGTCCGTCGGCAATTTAAAGGCCCGGGGCGCCGGCTGCGGTAGCGGTGGCTGGGAGCCCTGGGCCCTTTAAATCACCACCGGAGCCCCATGGTAGCAGCAGTGGCAGCCGGTAGCCCTGGGCCCTTAAAATCGCCACCAGAGCCCCCTAGTAGCAGTAGCAGGCACGGTGGCCAGGAGCCCTGGGGCTTGGGCAGCGATTTAAAGGGTCAGGAGCTCCAGCCACTGCCAGGAGCCCAGGGCCCCTTTAAATCACCGCTGGAGCCCCAGGGCTCCCTGCTGCTGCTGCTACCCCAGGACTCCGGCAGCGGGGCTCTGGCACTGATTTAAAGGGCCAGGGGCTCTGACTGCTGCCGGGAATCCCGGGGAAGCTGCCGGTACGGTCGGCTGTGTATCGGCTCTTGCCGGTACGCCATACCGGATTGCAGGGAGAACTGGAAGTCCTGGCACAGTCAAGGAATTATGATGTGATTGGAATAACAGAGACTTGGTGGGATAACTCACATGACTGGAGTACTGTCATGGATGGATATAAACTGTTCAGGAAGGACAGGCAGGGCAGAAAAGGTGGGGGAGTTGCACTGTATGTAAGGGAGCAGTATGACTGCTCAGAGCTCCGGTATGAAACTGCAGAAAAACCTGAGTGTCTCTGGATTAAGTTTAGAAGTGTGAGCAACAAGGGTGATGTCGTGGTGGGAATCTGCTTTAGACCACCGGACCAGGGGGATGAGGTGGACGAGGCTTTCTTCCGGCAACTAACGGAAGTTACTAGATCGCAGGCCATGGTTCTCATGGGAGACTTCAATCACCCTGATATCTGCTGGGAGAGCAATATAGCGGTGCACAGACAATCCAGGAAGTTTTTGGAAAGGGTAGGGGACAATTTCCTGGTGCAAGTGCTGGAGGAACCAACTAGGGGCAGAGCTCTTCTTGACCTGCTGCTCACAAACTGGGAAGAATTAGTAGGGGAAGCTAAAGTGGATGGGAACCTGGGAGGCAGTGACCATGAGATGGTAGAGTTCAGGATCCTGACACAGGGAAGAAAGGAGAGCAGTAGAATTCGGACCCTGGACTTCAGAAAAGCAGACTTTGACTCCCTCCGGGAACTGATGGGCAGGATCCCCTGGGAGAATAACATGAAGGGGAAAGGAGTCCAGGAGAGCTGGCTGTATTTTAAAGAATCCTTTTTGAGGTTACAGGGACAAACCATCCCGATGTGTAGAAAGAATAGTAAATATGGCAGGTGACCAGCTTGGCTTAACAGTGAAATCCTTGCTGATCCTGAACACAAAAAAGAAGCTCACAAGAAGTGGAAGATTGGACAAATGACCAGGGATGAGTATAAAAATATTGCTCGGGGATGCAGGAGTGAAATCAGGAAGGCCAAATCACACCTGGAGTTGCAGCTAGCAAGAGATGTTAAAAGTAACAAGAAGGGTTTCTTCAGGTATGTTAGCAACAAGAAGAAAGTCATTCAGTAAGGGGCCCACACTTTCCTTGAGGGAGGCAACCTAGTGACAGAGGATGTGGAAAAAGCTAATGTACTCAAAGCTTTTTTTGCTTCTGTCTTCACGAACAAGGTCAGCTCCCAAACTACTGCATTGGGCAGCACAGCATAGGGAGGAGGTGACCAGCCCTCTGTGGAGAAAGAAGTGGTTCTGGACTATTTAGAAAAGCTGGACGAGCACAAGTCAATGGGGCCGGATGCGCTACATCTGAGAGTGCAAAAGGAGTTGGCGGATGTGATTGCAGAGCCATTGGCCATTATCTTTGAAAACTCATGGCTATCCGGGGAAGTCCCGGACGACTGGAAAAAGGCTAATGTAGTGCCCATCTTTAAAAAAGGGAAGAAGGAGGATACTGGGAACTACAGGCCAGTCAGCCTCACCTCAGTCCCTGGAAAAATCATGGAGCAGGTCCTCAAGGAATCAATTCTGAAGCACTTAGAGGAGAGGAAAGTGATCAGGAACAGTCGGCATGGATTCACCAAGGGCAAGTCATGCCTGACTAATCTAATTGCCGTCTATGATGAGATAATTGGCTCTGTGAATGAGGGGAAAGAAGTGGACATGTTGTTCCTTGACTTTAGCAAAGCTTTTGACACGGTCTCCCACAGTATTCTTGCCAGCAAGTTAAAGAAGTATGGGCTGGATGAATGGACTATAAGGTGGATAGAAAGTTGGCTAGATTGTCGGGCTCCACGGGTAGTGATCAATGGCTCCATGTCTAGTTGGCAACCGGTATCAAGTGGAGTGCCCCAAGGGTCGGTCCTCAGGCCAGTTTTGTTCAATATCTTTATAAATGATCTGGAGGATGGTGTGGATTGCACCCTCAGCAAGTTTGCAGATGACACTAAACTGGGAGAAGAGGTAGATACGCTGGAGGGTAGGGATAGGATACAGAAAGACCTAGACAAATTAGAGGATTGGGCCAAAAGAAAATCTGATGAGATTCAACAAGGACAAGTGCAGAGTCCTGCACTTAGGACGGAAGAATCCCATGCACCGCTACGAACTAGGGACCAAATGGCTCGGCAGCAGTTCTGCAGAAAAGGACCTAGGGGTTACAGTGGACAAGAAGCTGGATATGAGTCAACAGTGTGCCCTTATTGCCAAGAAGGCCAATGGCATTTTGGGATGTATACGTAGGGGCATTGCCTGCAGATCGAGAGACGTGATTGTTCCCCTCTATTCGACATTGGTGAGGCCTCATCTGGAGTACTGTGTCCAGTTTTGGGCCCCACACTACAAGAAGGATGTGGAAAAATTGGAAAGAGTCCAGCGGAGGGCAACAAAAATGATTAGGGGACTGGAACACATGACTTATGAGGAGAGGCTGAGGGAACTGGGATTGTTTAGTCTGTGGAAGAGAAGAATGAGGGAGGATTTGATAGCTGCTTTCAACTACCTGAAAGGGGGTTCCAAAGAGGATGGCTCTAGACTGTTCTCAGTGGTAGCTGATGACAGAACAAGGAGTAATGGTCTCAAGTTGCAGTGGGGGAGGTTTAGGTTGGATATTAGGAAAAACTTTTTCACTAGGAGGGTGGTCAAACACTGGAATGCGTTAGCTAGGGAGGTGGTAGAATCTCCTTCCTTAGATATTTTTAAGGTCAGGCTTGACAAAGCCCTGGCTGGGATGATTTAGTTGTGGATTGGTCCTGCTTTGAGCAGGGGGTTGGACTAGATGACCTCCTGAGGTCCCTTCCAACCCTGATATTCTATTCTATGTACCGGCTTACTTTCATCTCTGCCTGTGATGTGTATATAGGGGAATCTGAAGTAAGATTAGAGATACTCTTACTCTTTATCTCTGTATCTGGCATTGGTATGACCACTGCTGGAATCCTGTGTCCAGTTCTGGTGCCCACAGCTCAAGAAGGATGTTGATAAATTGTAGAGTGTTCTGAAAAGAGCCACAAGAATGAGTAAAGGATTAGAAAACATGCTCGTACTGATAGACTCAAGGCGCTCAATCGATTTAGCTTAAACAGAAGGTTAAGGGGTGATGATCACAGTCCATAAGTGTCAACATGTGGAACAAATATTTAAAAATGGGCTCTCCAATATAGCAGAAAAAGGTACAACACAATCCAATGGCTGGAAGTTGAATCTAGACAAATTTAGACCGGAAATAAGACGTACATTCGCAATGGTGGGAGTGAGTAATTAACCATTGGAATAAATGACCAAGGGTCATGGTGGATTCTCCAACACTGACAATTTTAAAATGAAGATTGGATGGTTTTCTGAAATAAATCGGGGGATTATTGTGGGGCAGTTGTCTGGCCTGTGTTATCCAGGAGGCCAGTCTACATGATCACAGTGGTCCCCTCACACCCACACACCTTGCTCGGTAAAGACTAATGAAGGGAGATCCTCTGAAGGTTGAGAGTTTCCAAAATCATTCAGACCTCCTGAGTCTGCAAAAGTGGGCTGGGTATTTTGTAAGGACTGAATTCCTTGGCTGAGGGCATGTGGACGGGTGTGCATTGAGGGGGAGGAGAACCACCACTCTGATGGTCAAACCTGGGCTGAAAAAGCAGGCCAAACTCTAGCCAAACCAGTCTGCTCGCCCCTAGCCAAGATCTGGGAGGAGTTATATCTGTGTCTTTCAGTCCAGCCCAACAAGGAGATCAAAATAGTCTCAGCAGTTCGGAGGAGCAGCGTCACCTCTCTTGCCGGAAGTTCCAACCCCTATTTCACTCCTACACCCAGCCTGGGATTCCTGCCAGCAGCTGAATGCAACCCCAAATCAGGTGAGGTCTCACATTTCAGTGCCACTTATCTAATGCTCAGAAGGGCTGAAGAGATTACATTAGACTTGAGACTAGTGATAAGAAGGCTAATTTCAACAGGCCTAAAAGGAAAGGGCAGAATTGCACGAACAGGGCTAGGGAAGTTCATCTTACATGCAGTAGCTCAATTCCTGTTCTAGTGTATGGGGCCGATGACAGTGTGATCTTGGCTTGGCAAAGGGATTGGCACCAGAAAGGCCTTAGCTTTGCCATTCCATAAGTAAGGTTGAAGCTGGCTTCTTGCTGTAAGCCACATTTTTATACATCGCCTCTCATTGCAATGAAACCATTTTTCCTGGAAATGTTGTATGCCTCCTCTCCTCTCAGGGCAGAACTTTTCTGGTTTAAAAACCAACACTTATTCTATCAGAAAGGTTTTAAAGTTACGGTCCCATGAGCGTGTTTACTTGTACACCACTTTTGAGAAAAGTTTTCTGAGGTGGGCTGTCTTTTGGAGGGGTTCATCACATCTCCAAAACAGCATGCTTAGAAGCTGCAGATTTGTGGTGGTGTTTTGATCTTTCTAAGGAGAAGGGCCCTTTAATGCTGGGCTTTGTAAAGATGTGTGTATATTAAAGCACATTGCAACACGTTCAATTTCTACACAATTTTTTTGAAGAAAACAAATTGTTTTGTGTTGATCAAAATATTTCAGGTTCTCTTTGGAAAACAGAATCTTAATTTCCATTTTCAAAAACTTAAATCTTATTTTTTTCTTGTTTTAACCCCCCACCCCTTTTGTTGTGGGAAGTAGAGAGAAGTTTCAGTGGAAACTTTCCCTGCCAGTTCTAATACTTGTATAGAAGAGATACAGATAAGGAAGATGTCTTTGAATTTGTCTCAGACCTGCTCTGTGCTCATAGAATGCTTTTTGCACAGAAAAGCTTTGGATGGTTTGTGCGTCCATTCCCCAGTCTGGTACTTCCCAGTCTTCCTTGTTATGCATTATATTGTATTTAACCTTTGCACATGTGATTCTAATCGGATCTGTCACTTTTGGCTCTAGTGCTAAAGAGGCCCGTCACCAATGAGGAGCTCCTGTCCCCTGGGGCTGCATACATCAAGAAAACACTAACTGTAAGTGACCAGTCAGAACGCTGTTACATTAGCAGTAATGCTAAACCCTTCCTGGCTGCTCTGTTAGCTTTCTAGGTGCTGTCGGTTTTCACTCCTGAGTGTTTAAACCATGACTGAATCTCACATCATCCGGACCTTTTTTCTTTGTTCAACTCACATGAGGCTCATGAGCTGGCGCCTTCGGATATTCTTGTGTTTTGAACGGGCAGTGACTGTCCCCAGGTTGCTGCCGCTTGGTGACGTTTTGTATGTGTATTGGGGTGGAGAAAGGAGAAAAGTCCTTTTAAGGAGAAAACTCCATTGCGTTCCATCTAGGCTTGTACAACAGCAGCCTCACTTGTCAAAGACACTAAGACATTCATTTCCCTTTCCTGTCACAGGTTGATTGCTTTTCCATGCCACTCTGTATGCACCAGGTACCTATGATCCACTCACAGATAGCTGAAGGCATCTCTAAGTGTATTAAGATACTCTGTGGGCTCAAAAGAGAATAGGAAACCATCCTGAACACTAGGAATGTTCAGGGTTTAAGCTCCTGGTTCGGACTCCAGGATGACTTAGGAAACCATAGTTGTTGGGGTTTTTTATTATTATTCATATTACTTTGGAATCTAGAGGCTTCAACAGATCAAGGCCCCATTTTGCAAGGCACTGTATGCACACATAGTGAGAGACATTCCCTGCCCTGAAGATCTATCTATCCTTTTTCCCCTCTAAATGATAATTTGCATACATCTCCCACTCTCTCCCTTCTTCGCTCCCTTGCACAGGAATTGTATGGAATGCATCTCCAATCCATGAGCCAGATCCTTCAGTCCAGCTACACTGGACACACAGAGATTCACTTTATACAGGTGGAATCTCCAAGTAGCCAGTTAAAAATGTTTTATGGCCCACTTGCCTCACGAGAATGGCACAAGGGGGCTGTAGGAGAGCAGCGGATCTGGCCTAGAGTGAGTGCAAAAAAAATTGACTTCCTGTTTGCGGTCTCTCTGAGTGCTGTGTTTAAGGACATGCTATCCGTTCTCAATACCAGCCTTGCCCTGACTGTCAACCCTGTCAAGCTGGGCCTTTCAGCTGCTGCTTTGGTCCTTTTGCACAGCTCACTTCCTCTCCTTAGTTGTGCTGCTGCTGTTTTGTAACATGTGATGCCCTTTGAGAGTTCCTTTGTATGTGTTGACCAAATGCACAAAGTTTCTGCTTTCAGCATAACAGCATGCTTCTCCGACAAGCTGGGATTGGGGTGGCGAAAGTGGGTAAAGAGGATGTTTTTGTTCAGCATGTGACTTCCCTTGCCAGCGAAAGTGCATGCAAGAATTATGCATGGTGCAGCAGTGTCTCTTGGTATGTTCTTTGCACGTGACTTGCTTTAAATCTTGCATTGTCTATGTGTGATCCTTGTGCTCTTCACAGCATGGAATACTCGTTAGAAAGTAACTTTGGAGACGCTCTCAGTTAAACCCTGTGGTTTTGAGTCTCATTTGGTGTATGGCTCAGAAATATATTGTTGCTCTTCTGATGCGTGGCAGCAGATGTCAGGTTGGTTTGCAGGTTGGTTTCCTGTCAAAGGGGAAATCAGCAACACAGAGCCTGGATATATTCGTAACTTGTTTTATTTACACAATATACATCTGTCCTTGAACAGAAGTGGTCACAAATGGCATGCAGGCTATAGTAAGCTGAATGGAACTTGGAGGGAGGAACACAGGTTGCAGGAAGGAAGAGTCTGGAGGAGGCACAAGGAAGCCAGTCTGTGTGCACGTGGTTGGAATGCTAGCTGCAGCATCCCTGTAAATAGTTCTTGTAACGAAGAGCCAGTGTAGTTTTAGAACCTAGAGCGCTCTCTAGCATGCCACATATTAAACACTAGAGGAGAACTCTTTCAGAGAGAGTGAGGGAGAACGACTCTAGCCCGGCAATTAAGGCACTCTCCTGGGAGGTAGCAGATGTGGATTCAAATCCCTACTCTGAATGAGGCAGAGAGAAGATTTAAGTCCTCTCCTACCTTCCAATGAGTGCCTTCATCACAAGGTTCAAGAGTTATTCTCTCTTTGACTCAATGAATATTTAAGTATTTATAATCAGTGGAACAGTTTCAAGAGGAGAGACTGGAGCAACCCACCACAGAACAACCTCTGGCCTGGTGGTTAGGATGCTCACTTGGGAGGGAGAATACTGAGATCAAGATCTGCTGCAGAATGGGGATTCAAACCTGGGTCTTCTACATCCCAGTCAAGTCCCTAACCACTGAGATAAAGGGAGATGTGTGCACACATGTTTTCTGAAGCTGGCTGGCCCACCCTAGAGTTTATCTCACTGTAAAATATGTGGGGCATTCACTAGTTGAAGTGATAATGGGGCAAGGCTAAACGCTGACCACTTCAGTTCAGCAGAACTCCTTTGCGTGGTCATCTACATGAAGGCAAGAAAATCTTTGTGAGGCCCTTACAGTCCCTCTGTTCTGTTTGTAGATTGTGGGGGATGCTGTGGGCTGGGGGTTTGTGGTCCGTGGAGGGAGACCCTGCCATATCCAGGCTGTGGACCCAGGAGGACCTGCTGCTGCAGCAGGCATGAAGGTACTGTATAATCTGGATCTTCCTGGTGTAGCATGTGATATCACTTGTATGCTGATCAAACGTGTGGGGCCAAATTCATCCCCGGCATTAATCCATGGACTGCAGCGAGGGTGAATTCATTCATCACTCACTACTATGTTTCAAATCTGTAGCAGTCCCTGTGACGCTTGGACTGAGGATTGCAAAGCATGCACCTACTTGCCAGCAGTGGGACCTATGTGTGTTAAGGTGGCTGGGGCTTGGCTCTTTTCAAGGGCTTATGAAGACCCAGCTGTGGCTGTTGCTGCTCTGATCTAAACCTCAGAGTGGAGGGAGAGCCAGTGTAAGGGGAAACATTGCATGGCCCATTACATTGCACTACGTCTACAGACCGGTGTCAACAAATATCTGTGTCAGCTACTACGCTTCAGTGGAAGCTTGAAACTGACTCTGGGCTTGTAGATTGCCTGATGGGTTTATTTCGGAGAATTTTGAATGCTATGGCTATTGTGCTCTATTCAGGAGAGACCTAGAACAACACAGCAGAGATGCTGCAAGACACAATTGTGCTTTGTCACAGCCTTGTGAGGGAGATTTGCACACTGCCTGCCCTTGGCTGGATCTGACTCCAGTCAAAGTAGTCATCTTCAGTTTCATCAGCATCCTATTTGTAATGATTCTTCCCATATGTGGCTTGTCAACAGGGCTCAAACCCAGGACCTTCAGTACTGCAGCACAGACCTCTACTACTTCAAATAAAGGATAAACTCTTTAGCTGGTAGTATTAATAGGCTGTTATCCTCTAGCAGACCAGATGCTGAGGGAGATGTGACACACACACTGCCAGCGTGTTATGTAGTCACTAGAAAACTGTTCTTTCCCGTCTGTAACTGGGATTTCAGCATTTATCTTTGTCCTCAGTCAGGATGAAAAGTCAAAATACTGACACCATTCATGGGATGGGAAGTTCAGAAAAACTTCTATTTGGAAATGTTATTGTTGTGGCTTGGTTTTACACTGAACTGCACCCACCTGAGCTGCTGCAATGCTTCATGAGATTTGTAGTTCAGATGCCTCGTGCTCTCATTCTCTGCTAAGGGCCAGATGCCCCAGGTGGACTACAACTCCCATGATGCATTGCGGCAGTTCAGTGGGGATGGGGATATTGTGGTACATCCTGGAGGATTTAGTCCAGCCTGGAACCCAGCCCTTAGACAAGGATAGGGGCATGAGATGCCTGAACTAAAACTCCCATGAGGCACTGGAGCAGCTCAGACAGACACAAGCTCATGTTGAACTGACCCAAACCAAAACGTTTTGATTCAGGTCAAGATATCAGAGTGTTTAGATTTGGGTTAACCTGAGAATTGTTTCAATTTTCTTGATGGAAAAATTTGAATATTTTTTGACAAAATTGAAACTTTTTCCTGTGGGACTTTGATTTTGTGGAGACGTTTTCTATCAATAAAACAAAATAAAAAACAAATATCCAAAAACACTTTTCAGTGGAAAATTCCCAGTCAGCTCTAATTGTTAATATACTGCATATAAATTATTTAATGCAGGGAAAGAGCAGCACACTGCTTTGAAACACCCAGTATTAGTTTTGTTCAATATCTTCATAAATGATCTGGAGGATGGTGTGGATTGCACCCTCAGCAAGTTTGCAGATGACACTAAACTGGGAGGAGAGGTAGATACGCTGGAGGGTAGGGATAGGAGACAGAGGGACCTAGACAAATTGGAGGATTGGGCCAAAAGAAATCTGATGAGGTTCAACAAGGACAAGTGCAGGGTCCTGCACTTAGGACGGAAGAATCCAATGCACTTCTACAGACTAGGGACCAAATGGCTTGGCAGCAGTTCTGCAGAAAAGGACCTAGGGATTACAGTGGACGAGAAGCTGGATATGAGTCAACGGTGTGCCCTTGTTACCAAGAAGGCCAATGGCATTTTGGGATGTATAAGTAGGGGCATTGCCAGCAGATCGAGGGACGTGATTGTTCCCCTCTATTCGACATTGGTGAGGCCTCATCTGGAGTACTGTGTCCAGTTTTGGGCCCCACACTACAAGAAGGATGTGGAAAAATTGGAAAGAGTCCAGCGGAGGGCAACAAAAATGATTAGGGGACTGGAACACATGACTTATGAGGAGAGGCTGAGGGAACTGGGGATGTTTAGTCTGCAGAAGAGAAGAATGAGGGGGGATTTGATAGCTGCTTTCAGCTACCTGAAAGGGGGTTCCAAAGAGGATGGCTCTAGTCTGTTCTCAGCGGTAGCAGATGACAGAACAAAGAGTAATGGTCTCAAGTTGCAGTGGGGGAGGTTTAGGTTGGATATTAGGAAAAACTTTTTCACCAGGAGGGTGGTGAAACACTGGAATGCGTTAGCTAGGGAGGTGGTGGAATCTCCTTCCTTAGATATTTTTAAGGTCAGGCTTGACAAAGCCCTGGCTGGGATGATTTAATTGGGGACCAGTCCTGCTTTGAGCAGGGGGTTGGACTAGATGACCTCCTGAGGTCCCTTCCAACCCTGATATTCTATGATTCTATTAAAGCTCCTGGGGTAATAAGTGTGTTCTGTCTTACTAAAAAGAAAGTTGTGTGTGGAGTTCTTTTTCTTTGCATGTGAAAGCTGCAGAATGACTCTGCAGTGATAAATCATTCCCTTTGGGGACAGGGAGAAGAGTTTGCCTTCATTCATCTTGTAATCGCTCCGCTGATTCCATCTCATATGCAATGAGCTGAGCTTCTGAAAATGATTTTAGACCAACAAACCAAAAATAAATGGGCTTGTGGTCTGGTTGAAGATTAATTTCTAAGAGTAAAGGAAAAAGGAAATTCATAACACCCCCCCCCCCAGCAGTCGAGGAGTAATTTTTGTACAGATCTTGTTTATCCTTCAAGTCACTTGCTGGGATATTTGAAGTAATAAGATTCTTCAGAGACAGAAAGAGTTAGACTTGGTCATATGCTTCAGGCAGGATTGGAAAGGAACAGGTGCAGGTAAATTTGTTCCATTTGCTCAAGAGCTCATTTCATCCAACCCTTCCTCTAATCTCATTATTTTAAAAAATTACCAATATTAATATCAAGTCTCACTGTCAGCTTTTTACATATACGTGGCCTGCTCATAAAGGGGGCTTTGCATTCGCCATTTGCTCCCAAAGTAAATCCCTGGGGTTGCCATTAAGAATCCAGTCACTATTAGTGCGATTTATAAAGTGTATAAAATGCTTTCCGGTTGTAGGATTTGGTAAGAGATACCTTCCTCACAAAGTCTCACTCTTCTGAGCAGGTGCAGCTGCAGTTTCAGTGTAGTCGCATCACTGTAAAACATTCCTCTCTCTCCACTGCAGGTGTGTCAGTTTGTTTTCTCTGTGAACGGAAGGTACGTTCTGCATTTGGACTATCCGACCATCAGCAGCCTCATTATGACGGGACCGCGAACGCTTGTTCTGGAGGTCATGGAAGCCATTGAATGAGTGAAGAATCCTCTCCCCATCACTGTTCCAAGAAGCAGGATACTTCAGCTGCTAAAGGATGGAATGATCAGTTACATGATTCTGCGAAAATTAGGGGAAGGACCAAACCTGGTCTCTCATTCTAAGGGACTAGGCCTGAAATGTAGCCTGACATTTTGACTTGTCTTAAGTAATTGGAATCTGATGAGGCAGGTCTCTTGGGCTCAGACAGAACTGAGGTATTTGTGGCTCAGTGCCTAATCCTGAGAGATGATGAACACCCACAGCTCCTTTTAGAGACAATGGGGGTGCTCGACCACACTCAGGATTGGGTCCTTAGTGCACATGGTCCTTTCACCTACAAGGACCTGAGGTCAAGTCGCAAGTCAAGTAAGAATTGAACTGAGTTTGTTTGATCTCCAGGAACTGGTAAGTGATGAGAAGCTTGTTGTTTTTGTTTAAAAAACCTACCATTCTGTGTGATGACCCTGAGCAGAATATCTGAGCTCAGGAGACTGCTGGGCATGAAGAGTCAACTAAAAACACTTTTCTGAAAGCTATACACATTCCAGATGATGCAGTACATGGTGCTGGTGACCACATCAAGAAATAAAGGAAAGAATGCCACAGTGAGTTACGTTCCGTTATAAACAGGAAAGAGACACCTTTTCCAGATGGAATCTGACATACTCAAGGGAAATAACTTTTATTTTTGAAGCATCTAAGAGGTTTCCAACATTTACATTTTTAAAAATGTCTTTTTAAACTATATTTTTAAAACTACTGTAGCTGAAAGTGTCTTTTTTTAAATAAAACCTGTTTCGATGCTGATTTGTCAGTGTTTTAATATTTGATTAGACAGTTTCTCTTCCGTCTCTTTCTTCAGTGCACAACACGCCTCCCTCTCATGGTGTGATGTCTCATAAAACTGATATTCTATAGATTTGTAATGCAAATAATTAAAAAAATAAATAACCAAAGAAATATTGGTCTGTAACTGTTGTGCCAGTTGGGCACAGGCTTGTTTTCCAGAGACTTAAAATCCAATAGGAGGCAGAGATCTAATCCAACATCCGGTGATCATCTTTTATGGTGACATTGGTGCAACGTGGAGGATGGGTAGTGTCCAACTTTTTTTTTTTTTGCCTTGACTGTTAAGGCCAAAATGTAGGAAGACTCCACATTAGGACTGACAGAAAAATGGAATTTCCATCTGATGGGTAATACGAATATTGCTACATTTTGTTTTCCTCCTGAATTCGGATATGATCTCAATATGTGCAGGTTTTTTTCAGAATGAGAAGCTCCAGAAAATGTCAATTTGGAAATAGAAAAATGCTTTAATGTTAATCTCTACACCCTTCAGAGGTGCTGTAATGCCCCATTCTCCCCTAGGGGCCTTGCTCTCCATAATACATCTCCCATCATACATCATGATTTCTCTGCATGGCTGAGTTTCCATGGGGCCTGATGGGCCTCTCTCCTGTGGAAAATTTCTGTTCTGATAAATCGATTTTGCAATGGGAAAACGTCTAATTTGGAATTTTGTCTTCATGTGGAGTAGGGCTGATACAATTACCAATGTGGGATTGGATTTGTATTTCGGGAGAGGAAGGAAGAGCCCTATGGATGTTCTAAGGGAACTGTCAACTTAAAAATCACACTTCTCTGAATGTTTTACAGAACATTACTAGAACTGAAGTGTATTTAAGAGTAATTGTAGGAGATCAGATTAGGTGTTCATAATGATTAGGATTGCCAACCCTCCAGGATTGTCCTGGAATCTCCAGGAATTAAAGATTAATCTTTAATTAAAGATTATGTCATGTAATAAAACCTCCAGGAATACATCCAACCAAAAATGGCAACCCTAATAATGATCCCTTATGGCCTATCTATGCAATTGTCTCTATTTCAGTTTGCTTTGGGCATTTGAAACCACTTGGTGTGTAACTAGATGGGGCCTGGTCCAGAGCCTCTTGAAGTCAATGGGAGTCTTTTCATTTATTTTGGTTGGCTTTGACTCAGATTCTTAGTTGTATGGGTTGGCCTGTCAGCACCAGAAAAGAGAAGATTGGAGTGGCACAATTTCTTCTTCACAGAAGCCATGTTGGTTTATCTTTTTCAGATCTGGTTGTGTTACAACATGGAATCATAGTACTGGAAGGGACTTTAGTCATGGCAGGACTAAATATATCTAGACCATTCCTGATAGGTGTTTAACCTGCTCTTAAAAATATCTGATGATGGAGATTCCACATTCCTAGGCAATTTATTCCAGTGCTTAACAACCCTGACAGTTAGGAAGTTTTTCCTAATGTCCAACCTTAGCCTCCCTTGTTTCACCGCATATCTACTAGCTCAAAAGAAGTAACAAATTCAAACCTCTGTTCATGTGCTAGCCATTGAAAGGGATACAACCACACTATTAGCAATAGTTACCCTTTCTTTTGAGGGTGATGCAAATCCTAGTGGAAATTATACATGTACAGCCCACTATGGAGTGAATTAGATACAGCACATTATTAATCATACAGTCTTCAGCTGACTGTACATCATGCTGACAATTTGTCCCTCAAGCTGTAGGACTGCTTGAAATGAAGAGAAATTAGTGATGTTTTAAACCTTATGCTTTCCTCCCTTCCACGTTCCAGTGTCCATCAGTGGCAAGGCATTTGTGCCAGAGAAATCTGATTCTAGGCATTAGGGATGGAAACCTGGCTTTATAGATGTCAATGGAATTTTTGCAATTAATTTAGTTGAGGACAAGATTTCACCCTGTTGTTGGATTAAGAATCGCTTACTCAGCAGCTGGGTCTAACGAATATTTATTAAAGCAAAACACTCAAAGTAGTAATCAGTTACTCACAAGTGGGAAGCTTATCAGGACGATCTCATCACAGTCAATGAGACAATATAGCTTCAACCTCTCTTTGTTACACAAATTTATTTATAACTTTTTGTTATACATATGTATTAGTCTCTCATTTCCATATTAAATCTCCTCCTCTGTCAGTACAGGTTTAGCGTGAGTTCAGACTGGTCTTTGATAGCTTTTTAGTTACTTTATCTTTTCTTGTCCTCTCAAACATGATTGCTTCACAATTTCTTACATATGCACAACACTCAACAGGATTACTCTGCAGTTTCTTACACATACACTCTTCTACTTATGCTTACGCTGTTAAATGTTATCAGAACCGACTCTTCAAATCTACAACAGGCTTCTGTCAGCCCTAAATATGCCTTTGCTCCCAACATTTGTGAGTTAATTCATTACTGGAGCTAGCTGGGAAATGGAATTTCTGTCCTGAGGGGCGAAGGGGGGGAATATTTCTTGGAATCTTTTCATCCCGGATTGGGCAAAAAAAGCCAAAACCAATTTTTTTTCCCAGTCCTGAAATTCTGCAATGTTTTATTTTTGGGAACACTGAAAGATTCCTGCTGTATCTCTGACATGAAATATGCCCAGTCAGCAAGCCAGGCAACTGGAGAGTCCAAAAAGCTTGCCTATCAGTCAGGTGAGCAGCCCAGTAATCCACTTAATTTGGGGCCTAAATGGGAGCTGACCTTCTGAAAATCTGAGCTTGATTATAGATGCTGAAGACTTGTGAAAATCTGTCCCCAAGTGTGCATCATTAATGGACATGACTGTAGAAATGGTTGCTCTATTGATTTACTGCGGCCCCTTGCATTGCCTCTGCTGTTGATGAAAGACAACTATTCATCCCCTATCATTGGTGCAGCTAGCATAGGGATTTGTTGCGATACTGCTCAGCAAATCACTATAATATCGGACAGCAAGATATTGTAGCGGAGGATACACAGAGGTCCTTGCATGTACTAGAGGGAAACTGGGCAATCTTTCAATCCATTTATCAAGATGCTGGCAGTTCTCATTTCCAGCCAGGTGAAATAAACAGCGTGCAAAGAAAGCTGATCGGTATCCAGAGCATCTTAATAGATATACTAGTTTAAACTCCAGTTTGACTTGGATGCATAAGTTGTGTGTCAACTCTAGGGTCTACTCCAAACTGTAGGGTTCTCTCTAAGTGTAGGAAAGGCCAGTAAAGGTCCATGTTGTTAGGTTCCCATGCAGTTAACTTAAGGCAAGTAGAGAGGGATACCATACCGCAGAGTCATAGAATCATAGAGTATCAGGGTTGGAAGGGACCTCAGGAGGTCATCTAGTCCAACCCCCTGCTCAAAGCAGGACCAATCCCCAACTAAATCAAACCAATCCCCAACAAAATCAACCTTCCTTTGGATCCAGAACTGAGTGCAGAGGCCCCAAACCCAATAATGAAGTTTGGATCTGGATCAAGATTTTCCCCCAAAGTTCAGATGAGGGTGGGGCACAGGGTTTCATTTCACGCATACTTTTAGTTTTAGGATAAACAGTAAGAGAATAAATGGGACACAAATCAGATGTCAAGAATTATAACATTCATAAACCAGTCGGAGAACACTTCAATCTCTCTGGTCACGCAATCACAGACATGAAGGTCGCTATCTTAAAACAAAAAAACTTCAGATCCAGACTCCAGCGAGAAACTGCTGAATTGGAATTGATTTGCAAATTGGATACTATTAATTTAGGCTTAAATAGAGACTGGGAGTGGCTAAGTCATTATGCAAGGTAGCCTGTTTCCTCTTGTTTTTTCCTACCCCGCCCCCCCCAGATGTTCTGGTTTAACTTGGATTTAAACTTGGAGAGTGGTCAGTTTAGATGAGCTATTACCAGCAGGAGAGTGAGTTTGTGTGTGTATGGGGGTGGGGGGGGGGATGTGAGAGAACCTGGATTTATGCAGGAAATAGCCCGACTTGATTATGTAAAGAGTTGTCACTTTGGATGGGCTAGCACCAGCAGGAGAGTGAATTTGTGTGGGGGGGTGTAGGGTGAGAAAACCTGGATTTGTGCTGGAAATGGCCCACCTGATGATCACTTTAGATAAGCTATTACCAGCAGGACAGTGGGGTGGGAGGAGGTATTGTTTCATATTCTCTGTGTATATATAAAGTCTGCTGCAGTTTCCACGGCATGCATCCGATGAAGTGAGTTGTAGCTCACGAAAAGCTCATGCTCAAATAAATTGGTTAGTCTCTAAGGTGCCACAAGTACTGCTTTTCTTTTTGCGAATACAGACTAACACGGCTGTTACTCTGAAACCAGTAACAACTATAGGCAGCTATTAAAATCCGTGGGAAGTCCAAGAAAAGTAAATTGCTTTAGTTAAAGGGAGAAGTGTGTGGATTACAGTGAAGGAATTATGAAACACACTTTGTTTTCTTTTGATAAGGTTGAAGCTGGTTGTTTCAGTTTTTGCATGAACTGTATTATATTATAATAATTTGTATAATATTAAAAGTTTAAAATAAAGCACTTTTATGTAATTTGAATATTTCTGAAATTAAACTTTTCCGAAATTTAATTTTATGGACATTTTTTGCCTTTTCATTCTGATTCAGGATGAAAGAAAATTCCAAAATGTTGGAATTTCCCATGGAATGGAAATTCCAAGTTTTTCACCAGCGCTAATTGTGACACAAATAGGATAATGCCACTGTTAATCACTGGAGATCTCTTTTAAAATCTAGTCTAAAATTATAACACAGTTAGGATGCCACTGTCATCTGATGTATTCTGAGCAAGTGGGTCTAAACCCTGGACCTTTCACTGAACCTCAGTGGTGCTGCTGGTGGGAGAAGAGGTTTCTTTCAGAATAATCTCCAGTTGCAAACTTGACTGTATAGCTTTGGCGATGGGTCAGATACAAAAGCTGACAGTATTTCACTAACACTACTCGTTTCACAGGATTTTGGCCCAGAAC